GAGACCGTCAGCCCCAGGGGTATTCTGGCTAGAAATGTGGGGGACATAGAAAGGGAAGACAGCTGACAGCCCCCATTTGACCCACTCAGCTGATACAGTGGTTCCAAAGAAGAGGTGAGGTACAATTCAAAGACTCATTTTGAACCAACTAAATGATGTGCCTGGAGCTTTTGATAAAGTGATATCTTTCAGGGTTCTGCTACTCTAGGAGGTGTCCCTGCTCAGATTTCCAGGTCCCTGCCTCCACCTGCCTCTGATTCCTGACAGCCATGAGACCCCTCTTATCTTTTCCAATTTAAGGCAAATTCTGTCCCTCCACGCGCTCTCTTGGTTGGGTCCTCTGAAGTCACCAACACCTGCAGTTAAAAACGCAACCTTTTCATCAGTTGAGCATTGTGTCAGGCAGATGCAACAATGAGAAATGATGAGAAAAGTATCTAAGACCTAACCTTCTTGTCAGTCAAAGGAGCATGGAAACTCACGGTTCGAGAATGCCAGGTTCAGGAAAAATCAGATTAGTTAGATTCAGTAGCTCATCAGAAGTTCACCGATGCATCCTCCAATGACCGTAATCATGACATCCATGGCTAAGTGTAAATGACCAGGCTTCTTGCTGTGTGTTGCTGTCCTCTGAGGCCATGATGATCCCATTGGTCAAGAATACGGCTTTGCCATGGATACAATGGCAACTTCATTTCAGGATAGTATGGTTGTGTCTGTGCATTGTGTATTCCATTGTGGACACAGAGCCTGCCCTGTCCATTGCAGTTATTTTAAATCCTCTGGTACCTCTGGTCCCTAATTTATGCCACATTCCTGAATGCCAGGAGACACCCTTGATGTGTTTATCACTGGCCCATGTGGCTGGTGATAGTCATTGGTGCTTGTGGTCACTGAACTGGACAGAGTTGTACTGAGCATGGCCATAAGGTCACCCTCCAGGAGGCAGAGATGGACTTCCTCACCCTTATTGAGAGAAGATCCTGCCTGTAGCTAAAATACATATTTTCTTTATGAAGCTACTGAACACAGAGGCCTTAATTTTCTGGTTATCTGGCAACAGAAATCCTGCCACTCTGATTATCTGGCAACATAAATCCTGCCACTCTGATTATCAGATAGCTAACTGTTACTGCCCATGCTGGCAACAACTTACAGGAATGTTAAAGGTTTTCAGTTCACTCAGCGAGAGTCCACCCACCCTGGCTACTCTTAAAGCCTTAGCCAGTTGGCTCTGAAAGTCTCAAGTGGCTCTGGGAGCTATTACTTCGGAGGTTGAGGCAGGAGGATGGAAAGTTCCCTGGGCAATTTAGCAAGACCCTATCTCAAAATAAAAAGGACAGATTCAGTGGTAGAGTGCTTGCCTAGCACTCACAGGGTCCTGGGTTCCATACCCAGTGTGATTACAAAGAAAAGAAAAGGCCTCATGAGGGCGAGTCGAGGCCAGGCAGGGATCAGCTAATGCCTCGTCCCGGAAGATAGTTCCCCAGTGTCACCTTCTGTGCATGGAGCATAGGTTAGTGCATTGAGAAATTACCCCTCTGCCAAGTGAGCAAACAAGAGCCTCCTCTGGCCTCGAAGGGCTCTGTGGGTGCAGGCTGGGGTTTGGGAAACCATCCTTAGTGATAACTACAAGCAGCAGTATGATCATAGGAAGGAACCTTGATGACTGAAGGAGATGGCGTCTTGGCCCTGCACTAAAACAGAGAGGAGGTCAGCGGTTTATTGAGTGTTTTCCATAAAGACAGAGAGCTGAGGACTCTATCGCAAACAACAACACGCATTCATCTGGTCGCATTTGCATTTTTAGCTCTTAGGTCGTCTGGATTGGGAGAGGGGCTTGCCCTCCCCGAATCCTGCCAAGCTTGCTCTTCAATCAAAGCTGTAAGCGTGGGCAGACACAGATGGAAGAGCATGGCGGGGCTGCAGAGAACCATTAACTACTCAGAACAGAATGCTCCCCAGTTGTACACAGCAGTATGCTTTTCTCCTAACCCACCAGACCTGCAGTGTATGCTCTGATGATGATTAGAGGCCAAATCAACAGTCAAGTGATGGAAACCAGGCCCACGCTCTGGGGTCCAGGCTGCAGGCAGCTGTGGCCTAATGAGATCCAGAAGCCCAGCCTGTCCCTCTGGCAGGCTCTTTGGGGAGGGGGGTTGGGCAGACCTTGCTCTGAGGGGCTCCTTGCCCTGGGGTGGAGGCTCAGCATCCTGCTGTCTGACCCTAGAGCTCTGCAGGGCTGCACAAATTGGGCTGATCTCTGTCCATAAGCTTCACTCGGGTGACAGGAAGGTGACTGGTGTACTCAATGCATTTGAACTTGTCCCAGGATCTGTTTCCCAGCTCCAACAATGACCTACCTGCATCCAGATCACCTCTGTTCTCATTAGTACCCAATTCACACCTGGAAAATGCAGATGAAGCGTGCTGTCTTTGCACTGGAGGAAGTGGTGTCTTTTTGCATACCTAATGAGGCTCCGGGATCATGCTCCCACAGTAACAGATTGGCTGAATGTAAAGTGAGAGCTTATTGATTCAACCCAAACTTACCTGATCCTGCCATTACCCCACTATAACACAAACCCATTTTCTCTTTTAGAGATTGAAAATTCTGGCTCCTATTTAGGAGTTACTGTATTAAGTACGTGAGGTGGGCATAAATACATGCAAAGCATGGCTAACCACCCTCTGCCTGCTGCCAGGCCCACTTTAGTGACATGAGGATTGAGTGCTAGGAAAATGGCTCAACAAAAAGCTGGAGGCGGAAGGTTTGTTCCGGTCCCATTGGACAACAGTCCCAGCCCTGCCTGTGTGTTAAGTGTCTCCTTATAGGACTCTGGGGAGGGAACCATGGCTGGTATTCAATTCTCCACTATTGCAGGTGGCGGCCGAGGAGAAAGCACCAGACCCTGCTGTTCTCCGAATGCACAGTTATGCCTTGCAGCCCCATCTTCCCCGCCCCACAGAGCCACTGGGCCTGGGAGATGGAGCTCTCTGAAGTGGTTGGGGACATGCTCATGTTACTCTTGCTCTGCGCTATTCTCCTTGAATGTGAGCTCTCAGCAGGAGGCTCACTTCTTGTGGACCTTGACACAACTCTGCAGTCAAGGAACTGACTTCCAAACAAACAAAAAGCCTGCCCAAGGCTTGGCACCAAAGATGACCTCTAAGAAGACACGTCAACTGTGGAAGGGAAAGGAAGGAAGGTCCTGGTTCTCCATATTTAATATTCTTCAGAATTCCCAGGGAAGTCTCACAGTAGAAAGGCTTAGCTTCTGTCTGGAAGGAAATTTGCTGCAGTCTGGCATCCCAGACTCTCTGGGATGGGACTGAGCTCTCCAGAGGTGGTTACAAGACGGCCATAGTCTACCTCATAAGGCCGTCTCACAGGTGGATGCTTCGACTACCGTAATCTTCCTCACAACCAGTATTGGGCACTTCTTCCTGTCCTCTGGGTTTGCCCACAGGGAATGTACCTGACAATTGGCTAGAATGTTCCAGAACTTTCCTGCGAATTCTAGAATGCCTAGGCTGTCAGGTACCCCTAGAATGTTAGGCACCAAAGCTCTCTGCTACTGGGCACACTCAGGCTGCAAAACCTCCCTCCTCAAGGCTTCTCCCACATACACTGGACTGGAGTTCAGAGGCAGAGTATGCTTTTGGTCTATGACTGTCACTGCTCAAATTCTCTTGCCACTTAGAACATTGTTTGTTGTACCACCTTCTCAAATTTTCTATCATGATTTACAGTAAAGCTGAGAGGTGGGAGAGCCCCACCTGTGACCACCTATACTCGACTGGGAGCAGTGTTAAGACTTCCTTGGCTACCTGAAGCCGTTACATGCTCTTCCCCTGGGGCCTCACAGACTTCAATACAATAGAGCAAAACTTTTGCCAGCACTTGGGAGGCTGAGGCAGAAGGATCGCTGTGAGTTTGAGGCCAGCCTGGGCTACAAAGTGAGTTCAAGGCCAGTCTGAACTGCGTAACTAATGCCTGTCTCCAAAAGACCAAAAAATTGCAACTCAAATGTCTGCCACTAGAAAATAACAATTGTTGACTGAGCACTTCTTACGTGACATTCTTTTCAATCCCATGAGGTAGGTATTCCTTTTTCCCTATAACAGATTAGAAAATGAAGTTTCCATAGATACAAGTAAACATCTCACAGCTTAATGCCAAAATTAAGCAGAGCTTTTCTTCTTTGTCCCAAGTTGGGTGGATTTCCTAGGACAGGGTGTTTCTGGTGATAAATCAGGACAGTGGATCAACCCTGCAGGGAGTGGGGGCAGGTGGATGTTAGGTGGGCCTCAGCTTAGAAGCAGATGCAAGCATCAATGAAGGCAAGGAATGTCCCATGCACACAGACAAGCCCCACACCTACCCCTTCCCCTGGGAAGACGGTACAGGGATCAAAAGGGAATTTTCTTTCTAACAAAGGTGAAGTTTCTGGTTTTAGTCTTCAGGACAGGGCACCATCTGGATGACTTGAATGCGGTAGGCAGGGTTGGTTGATGAGCAGGGTTTGTCGAGCATTAAAGTAGCATCCCTGAGTTTTTCCGCCCTTTTTATAAATCCAGGAAATCTCATCTTTCATACATGCTCCTTTCTGAGAGTGCTTCGGAGCCCACGTTCCTCCAGGATGTAACCCCAGGTCCTCAAGGTGATCCTCCAGCTTCCCAGGCACCCTGCACACGGAGGCGTCAAAGCCGCAGGCGGGACCTCCCTGCCTGCTGCTGGGTTCACCACGCTCAGGCTAGGCTAGGATGCGCTCCAGTAGCGCATTTCCTGGCGGCTGGTGGCTTTGGAACTTGAATGCATCCCCCCATTGAAGCAGCAGTGAGGGAGAAAGGGCCACTCAAGGCACCAGCAGCCCAGCCCCCACCTCGTGCCCCCCAGGCGCTGTGCGGGGTGGGCTGGAGGGAGGCGCTGGCACCTGGGCAGTTCCCATGGCAGCACACGAGAAGGAGCTGGCAGCAGGGAGTAGGGGCGGAGTTCAGGGGCCCAAAGAAGGGCGCTTTGTGAGTGGCCGGTTCCCATGGCAACCGCTGGGCGCCTCCGCGTCAGCCAGAACCCAGTGGCCCTGCCTATGGCTGCAACGGAGAGCAAAACACCCTTGGAGAACCATCATTTCCACCCCCAGCATGTCTAAATAGCTCTGCTTCACTTTCCTGGAAACAAACATTTCTGCAGCATCCGCATGCCAAATATCGTGGTAGGTACTGGACCCTAGGAAAAATATAGGGCTGCTGGCCCTCTCCAGGCAGGGCTCCAGGCTTAGAGGGTGAGATGTGAGATAAACCCCTCTCCATGAGGCAGAGGGACAATGCCCATCTCTCTCGGCAGGAGGGAGGAGGGCAGCACGGAATTTGGGGAGGGTTCACAGTTTTCCCAGCTGATTTTGAAAGACAACCTTTGGAATATTTCACAAATGAAGAAACAGAGGCTCAGGAAGTTACTGGAACCCATGTTCTTACTTTCTTCCTGGGAGTGCATAGCCTGGTCTTGCTTGCAACTAGGAGTAGCCTGTGAAAATTCAGTAGATATTAAGAGAAAGTCATGCGGGCCACCTCTAGCCCAGGCTCATCCTGTCTGGCTGGGATTACACCAGTCCCTGAGCAACCTTGGAAGTGACTTGGTGAGATGGAAAAGTCCCTGGGTGCTCAGGCCAGAGAGGATTGCTCCACCTAGCCCTTGCCCAGCCCAGAACTGTGACCTGAATGGAAAATAAACCTCTACTTGATTGTACATAATATTAAGGTCTGTCTATTTCCACAGTTAACCTTCCCTGACTGGTATATGAGGCCAGCCGTATTTAGCTTTCAGATTCCCTGTACCATGTTTCAGAGATTGACAGTGATTCCAGGGCAACTAGTGGCATCTAAGGTATGTAGTCTACAGTGGACAGATCCAGAGATACTGGGATCAGAGCTATTCTGTTCATCATAACAACAGCTTTCTATAGTCTGGAGACACTTCCAAGAAGTTGGTTTCAAAATAGAACATGAATCATTCATATGACAGATACTAGGGAGATTATAGATTTGTTTTGTGGTGTCTGTATCCTAAAATGTGGTCTATATGTACTTGTGAATGGATGGGTGGGTGGATGGAAGGATGGAAGGATGGGTGGGCGGGTGGATGGAGTAGGTGAGCTAAGTGGGTAAGTAAATAGATGGATGGGTAAGCAGGTGGGTGGGTATATGAATGGCTGGATGGATAAATAGATAGGTAATGGTTTCTGCTATATGGCAAAGGAAAGAACGAATACCCTAAACAGAGCTATGAAATCTGACACCAATGAAGTATAAAAGGAAAAGGGACTGCTTCAGTGACGATACCCTGGTTACATGTTGTCACATCTAGCTGGGTAGAAAAGAAATAGATCACAAGTGGGTAGTCCCAAATGATACTCAGCCTAAGTGACCTTTGCTGCTGGGGATACTTCACACCCATCCAAGTAGGGATTGCCATTTTAACAAATGAAAATACAAGATTCCCAGTTGAATTTGAATTTTAGATATACAATAAAAATTTGTCCATGCAATATTTGGGACATTCTTATACAGCAGAGCTCAAAGAGAAATCCAGCCTTTTCCTTCCTCTGTAAAATCTTCCCAGTTCTGGTAAGCAACTCCTTGGGCCATGTGTCCCTCAGGAATGCAGACCTGTACTTTACTCACTGATAAGGGACACACTTCAGGCAGTTCTCAGGTGAATCTCCTCCCTTAGAGGGCAACACTGAGTACCAACACCCACAAAACTAACGAAGGGGGTTATACACAACTTCACAACATCCCGACACCCTAAGCTGCACAAGGTATGCCTTCTTTCAAGGCTAGGATAAGTTTATCTGCTAGGATGACTAACTGACTTTGTTTCACTTCTGCATCTTGACTTGCTTTGACATCATAAACTTTATAAAAGGGGACCTCTCCTTAGTTCGGGGCCCAGCCTAATTTTGAAATTACTAGTGATGGGGACTGTGCACTACTAAAGTCCTCCTGAAAATCCCTCCAGGTCTAAATATTTAAACCAAAAAATTGTTTTGTGTCTCAAATCAAATTAACTGAGCATAGTATTATAGGTCAGGCTCTGAAGCAGGTGATTTTGCACAGACAAATTGAAGAGAAACTGGCACAGCTGGTTCAAAGCCATTGTTTCACGGACTTGGGTCCTTTGGTCAAAGGTGGTTGGTTTCCTTCCTCTAAATGGTCAGCAGGAGAGACCTGTAGCAACTTCATTTGGCCTTTTTCCTGCATTCCACAAATTACTCAATAATGTATCAGGTTTGTAATGGATGGTATAAATTAGAGCTTTAAAAACATTCCAAAAAAATTCCTTTTCCTTTCAGTCCATTGAATCCAAAAAGGAAATTCATCCAACCCAGTGACTGATTATTAAATGTGAGACCTAAGGTTTTATTCACAGTAGGACATTTTAAGCTCTGGGAAAAGTCTCTGTACTTTTTATTCAAGATTCCTAAAACAAATTGGCTCACTCATAGTTATTGTTGTAGTGGAGAAACCAATAAAAATGTGGTTTATTCTCAGCACTGGAGTCTTGGCCAGTCTTTGAACAGACATCATTTTTCTTTCCCTCTAGGATCAACATGAGTTTATTTTTTGGATATTTCCAGGAGTCATAGGGGAACATCTTAGAAGGTAAGGGAATTTTGCCTCATCCTTTCCTCCTATGGAAATAATTTTACAGGTTTACATGAAAACCTCCAAAGAGTGAAAACATATAAAGGCCTGAAGAGGTAAGCCAACAACTTCTGGGCATGAGCAAAGAACTGGCCAGCACATCCTGCCTGATGTCTGGCATCCCATGTCCATAAGGGGACCAAGAGCTGTGTCCAGCCATCACAGCATGAAAGGACTTTGGTCATAATCACTCTTACTTCTTGCTGCTTCTGATCAGCACCATCCCTGCTGACGTCTTTATTTCTGTGCTTTCAGCTCTGTCATCATGCTCCACCAGCAACCAGTGGAGATCTTGCAAAATGCCACTCACCTGGTCCATGCAGTATCAGCCACCTCCCAGTGATTCTGCAGCCCTGAAGCAGTGGCCGGAGCCTTTTCCTCACAGTGCAGAGGATCCAGCACCGCTGACCTCATCTGCCTTCCTTCTTCCCACAATGGCCACTCTACTACATGTGCTGCCTTCTCTCTTCCCTGCAAACACACTACCTCCGTCCCTACTCAAGGCCCTGCGTTAGGTCTTTCCTGGGCCTGGAAAATTCATATTGTGTGTGTTTGCCCTGCCTTCTGTCATTCGGACAACAGTCTCAAAGTTGCCTTTCAGAACAACTTCTCCCGATTGTGAAACCTGGAGGGAGCTTCCTCTCCCTGACTTTTCCCCTTCTCATCACCAATTTTATTTTTTATCAAAGTACTTAGCACTACCTGATCATTTTTTCTTTATTTGTTTACTGTTTGTATTCTCAAAGTAGAATGTAAACTCTTGTTGGTCTTATTGACCAATAATCTTGATGTCTAGAACAATAGGTAGCACATAGTAGGCTGTCAATACATGAGAAATGAACAAACGAACCTGATACAGAAACCTTCTGGTTCATTATATCACCAGGCACCCAGGACTAATGAAGACAGCACAGACACAGCTATCAATAAAATCAGTAAACACATACCCGGGGTTTGCTACATGCCTAAGCACTTAGCATGCATCATTCATGTGTAACTAGCCCTGTGAATTCTGTACTATAAAATCTCACTTCACGAAGGAGCACATAAAGGACAAACATGAGACATTTCTAGGTAAATGGATGCACCTTAAGACTATAATCTTAAGTGAAATAAATTGGATATGCATTTTAAATCTCCTATTGCTTCTCTGGTGTGAGAAACCAAAAGGATAAAGAAAGACCAAAATATATACTAGATATTGTGAAACAGGAGGAAAATGTTCACGTGGGGAGGGGAACAGGGGAAAGGAGAGAAGGAAAAGGAAGAAAGGGCAGAGAAAAAAAAAGAGAACATAAGGGAGAAATGGAAATAAAGCTTTTGTAAATGAGGGGAAGAGGGATTTAAGGGAAGGGAGAGGGTTGGGGGGAAAGAAAACTCAGGATACACCATGTACAGGTGCACATTCTCCAAGATGAATGTGATCATTATGTGTATCTAAAAGGTACCAATGAAAGTAATTTTAAAAAAACAGAGCCAGGGATATGGATCAGTGATGTAAGCCTCTGTCTGACTGAGCTTGAATCCCAGTTCCAAGTAAATAAATAAAGGCACAATGTACAGATGGAAAAATAACTTGTCCTTGATCACATAGAGTAAGTGATAAAGTGATGGTTTGCACATGGGCGATCCGACTCTGGACTGACAGTCAACTTCTTATGGTTTAGATAAAAATGTCCCACCAAAGGCTCATGTGTCCTGAGACGAGGCTTCTGAAAGATGATTGGATCATGGGGCACTAACCTCGTCAATATATCAGTGCACGGATGAGTTCTTACCTGTTAGGAGATGGGGCCTGGTTGGAGAAAGCAGTTCACTGGGGTGTGCTTCTGAAGGGTATAGTTTTCCTCTGACTCTTTCCCTGCTTCTGCTTTTTAACTGCCGTGAGCTGAGATTTCCTCTACTAGCCCGTCTGCCATGATGCTTCTGCCTTGGAGCCAGCCAGCCACACACTGAAACTTCTGAGCCCACAAGCCAGACTAAACCTTTTCTCCTTTAAATTGTGTATCAGATATTTTGTTCCACCAACAGAAAATAAAAGTGATAAAAAAGAAAAGAAAAGAAAAATACAGTACACCCCTAACAACAAAGCCATAGCCAAATCCTGGCATTTGGCAATAGGACTTAAGTCCAAGCTGATTTCTGGAAGATATTCTCTGTGAAGGTTTTGATTATTTAAGCTGGTTTGTTTTATATAGCATTTGTTGACTTCTGGTCGCCTGTTCAGTGTTTGGAAGAAATGTGATGAACTGTGATTTGGAAAGAATCACAAAAGAGATCAAGACAGAAGATGCAGGAGGGAAAGGAAGACTTCAGTAGACCCGTCTCTTACGTACACCCACCCATCCGTGTGTCAGTCATTGAACAGAGGCTCTGTGAGCATTCTGCCCTGCCAGGCACTACTGTAGGCGTGTCTGTCCTCCAGAAGCTGACTAGTGAGGTGAAGGAACAGAGGCAAGATAGTGGTAAATTGTGAGAATGCAATTGTAGCATAGGATGGGATAAAGAAAGCCTTCCTGAGAGGTTCTATGTGAGCACCTGGGACCAGGGTGCTCTGAGCAGAGAGAGCAAGTATAGAGTCCCAAGGTTGGGGAGCGTGGGAAACTGGAATGTCTCATGGATGAGCAAGGGATGGACCTGACACAGTGGAGTGGGGGAGGATTAGTCAGAGAAGTACATGAAATATACTTTTTCTCTTTTCATGTGACATCTTGCTTTTTGATTTCTGCCATGAGTTGATATAGTGTGAAGCCTTCACTAGATGCAGCTACCTGATTTGGCAATCTTAATAATGTAATACAAATATAATGTACAGATTTAATATAACATAAAAGACATACAGATTTTACCATGTAGGCTTACAATGGCTGCCTGCAAAATCAGGAGTAAAAGAATGAAAAATGGCCTGGTGGGCACTGGAGGGCTGGAGGACCCAGCCACAAGTCAAAAGCCTGAAGCTCACTGCAAAGTCTTATGTGACTCTGTGTCAAAAAGCCAACAGGTCTGTATTGAAGGCTGAGGAGTCTGAGCTGCAAACCTGAAGGAACTAGAGACAAATGTCTAAAGGCAATGGCAAAGATTGTAGCCTACCTGGCAGCACCCACAGACACATCTAGAACTCTGTTCCACTACTCTGCAAGGTGTTTCTGAATCCATTTCAATTGCAATTAACTATGACACCATTCCCTCCCTATTTTCTAGTGTTTCTCTGGTAAGGCTATCACAGAAGTGGATCACTCACTGTAGTCTCTCCAAGGATGACTCATTCTCCCCAGGGATTATAAATCAAAGCCAGGGATTTTAACTAATAGCTTACTCTAAGCAATGATGTGAACTGGCCGTCGTTTAAGATACAGAGATGATTAACATGCAGTTCCTGTCCATGTGAAGCTGTGCACTACAGAAAACAAGTCATCCACAAAATTTTTGCAATGTCAGGACTCACTGTCACAGCACTTCACTTGCTCCTGAAAATATACAAGATAATGTAAAACAATGTAGAGTCCTCTCGTGGGATTTTCAGTCTAGTTGGGGAGACAGGAGACAATTCAAAAGAAATATTTAGAGTATAAATAAAGCAAATAGTTATAGTGCAGAGTTTTGAAGAGAAACTGTTCGTGTTAACAGTGCCTGAAATGCCTCCTTAGCATTGGAATAAGAAGTTTCCAGAGAAGTTGGGGATTCCATAAAAGGATGCAAATAAGTTAGCACAAGACCACAGCAACCTCTCAGGAAGGGCCCCTGAGCACCTGGAAACCTACTGACAGGAAGAGGAGGCTTTGCTACATGTTCAACTTCGTGATTAAGCTTCCACCACTGCTAGCGGTGCGTGTGGAATTAGGGTCAACATGAAATTAGTATATCTTGGTGACTCTTCCCATTCATTGGCTCCCAACTGTTACTTCTCCAGAAGTAACCAGAGAAAAGGGGTTTGCATTTGAAATGGTGAAGCTTCAGAAAAATCAATTTCTGCACCAATTTCTCTCTCGGTTCTGATATAGTAACAGGAAATTCGCACAGGCGAGCATTACAGCAGGCAGTTCATGAGCACTAAATATAACCAAACCCTTGCATCACATCCAGCAAAGCCTGGGGACTCACAGAAACTCTAGAGAAAAGGCAAATGTACCTCAAAGAACAGTCAGGATTTACTTATCTTAGTCTAAGACAGCACTTAAAGTATGCATATTTAATATGCATTTGTGTATTATATACATATATTGCTGTATATATGTACCCATGTATGTCTTTTCCTATAGAAATTATCGACAATTTTAAGATATATCCAGATGGAGAGGAGCAAAGATGGCGGATAGATAACTGGCTACAGAGGCTCCTTGAGATAGTTAACTTAGAATTCAACATAATATAGAGTGGGGAGCCCCAAACAGAAGGAGATGAATTCTCTCGTCCCAAGAAGAAAGTAAGGTGAGAAGAACCAACCAAACATACAGTCCCGGTGCTGTTATTGGAACAGCTAAAGGTTCAATGTTCCTGCTGCAGCAGGTGACTCACTGACCATCCGAGGTCCCGCCATGACTTGCCAAGGTCCCGCCAAGACTTGCTGAGCCATCCAAGGTCCCGTTGCTTAGACTCATTGGAGGCGCAGATACATTAAGTTCAGGGGTCAGTGAGTCAAACAGAGAGCTAAGTTGGTGGGGTGCCTACATTGACCTGTGGTGAGTGATGGGAGTGGAGCCATTCCATAGAAAGGAGGGCTCTGGCAGACAACATTCTGGGACTGGGCAGAAGTGGCAAGAACAAGGGGCAGCAGTGACTTCAGTCAGTTGTTTCCTTCCTGAACGGGATTGGTGGGGTGAGCTAGGCTTGGGACACGTGACCCGGCTGAGACCCAATAGGTTATCCAAAATCAAGTCCCTACAGCAGTGGCACACATTAACCACACTAACCCAGTGAAGTCTCAGAAGTTTGACTGACCCAGAGGGGAGGTGGCACAAAGTAATACAGTGCAGGCCAAAGCAGCTTGACTGACCCGGAGGGGAGGCGGTGCAAAGTAATACAGTGAAGGCCACAGCAGCTTGACCGATCCAGAAGGGAGGGGCCAGCATACACTGTCCTTGTCTGCAACTCACTAGCACATAGCAGTGGGAAGGGTCATCTAGCCAGCATGCTTCAGAAAAATTGTAACCAACATAGAAAGAAATGGAGGCCTCCTGGAAGAAGCAAAAAAGATGGAAAGAGGAACCAATAACAAAAAGTCCCCAGGTCACAACCCTGAGAACATTGACTCAGGACAGGTAAATACAAAGGAGAATGAGAACAGCAAACATGCAGTATCAGACACAGCACCAGTGGACATAAAGAGATATCTTCGGGACCTCATAGATGAGTTCAAAAGTGAAATATTTAGCCAAATAAAGCAAGGTATAAGAAGATTAATAAAAGAGCTACCAAGCACCCTTTAAGCAGACACAGATGGAAGAAGGGAGGAACTCAAACAAAGAAGAGAACCATTTGATGAAGAATATAAAAAATATAGAATACATGAAGCAGATTCAAAGAGATTACCAGGAAATTAAAAACTCTATGAAAAATGGCAAATCAGGTTGAAAGAAACTAAGGATAGATTATCCAAACTGGAGGACAATTTTGCAAAGTGGGATTATGAAAGGGAAAACTTTTTAAAAATAACAAGGAAATAAGCAGTAACAATACAAAGGCTAGAAGATGACAACAGGATCTACAACTTGAGAATAAAGAATGTAAATGAAGAAGCAGGGGTACAAACAAAGGACTACAAAGGTTTTCACAGAAATAATTAAAGAAAACTTCCCAAATATAGGAAAAGGAAATGATATTCTGATATAGGAGGCATACAGAACTCCAGCCACCTACAACCAAAACATTGCTACACCCAGGCATATAATAATCAAGATCACAGAAATTCAATATAAGAACAGAATATTAAAAGCTGTTAGAGACAAGAAACAGATAATCTATAAAGGAAGGCCCATCAGAATAACGGCAGACTTCACAACACAAACCATCAAGTCAAGAAGAGCCTGGAGCAAAATATTCCAAGCCCTGAAAGAAAATAACCTCCAGCCCAGATTGGTATACCTTGAAAAACTGTCTCTAGAAATTAATGGAGAAACAAGATGCTTCCAAAACAAAGAGGAACTGGGGAAATTTACGACCACCAATCAAAGTCTACAAAGAATACTTCAGGGCATTCTAGAGAGAGAGAAAAGTACTAGGATTCCAGGAACAGGGGCAGAGAGGCCTTCATGAATGGAGCAGAAAACAGAATGAAGAAGATAATCAGACAACTGATGGCAA